TATGGAAACCAATTTGACAATACATTTCATATTTAAAAAAAAAACTAGTATGAAAATCACTTATCTCAAATATTTCAGAGAATTTGGTTCAGAATAGTTGCTCATTTCCCTCCTGATTTCCCTTTTGCCTAGGGTTTCACTCTACATAATTTACATTCTCAGGATCTAGTATTTTGTTACTTTCTTAATATATTGTATGAAGTTTTTCTTTTACATAAAGTATTCTATAAGGTCCTGAAGAGAAATGCTCCATTCTTTAAGTTCATGAAGGTAAATCAACAAGAGAGAACCAAAACTATTAACATAAAATTGGGGAGGGGGGAGGGAAACTTGTCCTCATACTAATTTTTAAAAATTGATTTTTCTGACTCAGGCACTGCTGTCAGATTTACCTCCTGAATTAGAAGAGGTGGATTTCAACCATGCCTCGCCGGAGCCTGATGATACCTCATTCAGTGTGTCTTCTTTATCAGAGAAAAATGCCTCAGACAGTTTGTAATTTGAGGGGGCATATATGACACAGCATTTTGGCTAAGAGGTGTGCATTTCAAGATAACTGCATTCTGTTGCCTCAAAATTCTTCAGTTGGAAAAACATATTGTTGAAACTGACATGCCCTGTGAAGAATGGACAAGATATAATGGCTACAGTGTAAAAAATGTATGTGAAATTTAAAAGCAGTGTTTGAGAATTTTTTTCCAAATTGGTAAAACTCTGGTGAAAATTGTATTTAAATTTTAGGAATTTAGCTATGAAATGCATAATGCCTAATTTCTGAAATATTTGTTTGGTTTTTAGAAGAATCTTAGTTTTAGTAATAGTTTTGACCAGAGACACAAAAATAAAGGTATTTCAACATTGTTTATCAAGTTACTAACGCTTGGTTAGTTTTGTTTTGTAGCCATTACATCTTTCTTCTCTCACCTTTTCCTATATCCACATACACTTTTACTCAGGAAAGTGGACTAAAATTTGAAAAAAAAAAACAAAAACTTTAAAAATGATTTTACCTGGATGAGTCCTGGGATTTATTTTCCAACTCCTATGAGAATTTGACTTCAGTTAATGATTGAAAATTGAAGTGATTACTGGTATATAATTGTAAATTTATGGCATTCCTCCATTTCCTAACCAAAACATTTGGGGAGAAGGGGGAAAGCACTATGGAAAAGTAATTCACCAACATGAAGTCGAATAAATTATTAAGTGCACAGAAACAAAATGTTGTAAAAAATTAGTCTTAATGGGAATTCTTCATTGTTGCAAATGGCAAGTATTGATAAGATTCACATTCCACTAATAATTTTGTGTAACTGAGTTAGTTGAAATGTTGCACAAATATTACACATTTATCACTATCTTTATAATATTTTTTCAGTTACATTTTATGAAACAGGAAGTTAAGGTAAGGCACTGAGATTTCTTTTTTAATCTGGTCACTCAGCTTTGCCACAAAATTTACCTCATTCTCATGTGAAGCTTCTACAGAGCCATCAGCCAAGGATAATATCCAAAAAAGTTATACACACTATGGTTGTGAATCACAGTTCTAATTTCCTGGATACTATTCTTTTGAAGGGAGTGAGTGGCAGACAGAGAGAGAGAGAATCCTAAGCAGGCTCCAGGCCCTCCACAAAGCCCAGACAAGGGACTTGATTTCACAACTGTTGAGATCATGACCTGAACCAAAATCAAGAGTTGGACGCTTAACTGACTTGGTCATCCATGTGTCCCTTCTGGATACCATTCTATGAATACACTCTTAAATGGACATGCTACACAGTTGTACCAGATTGCTACACACTGTAGATGATTCTTTGCAGACCATTCCTTCTGGGGTACCAGAAGGCATTACCAAGACACATAGAAAGGAAAATACCAGTTTCTCCCTGAGCCACACAGCATCATGTATTTGTGAGTTGGCTGTGTGGATTTGTGTTGCATGGTTAAATTACTGTCTATTTCTAAAAGATTAATGAGGTAGCTACATGGCTGCTTTGGTCATCACGTTTCTGTGTCATATATTTTTGTAATTTGTAAGTAAAACAAATTTTGATCTTGGAATTCACAAATACTAATTTATGAATACAGAAAAGAAGTCATGACTGTCTTTGACCTTGAAATGCTCCCTCCCCACATACACAAATAGGTAAGGTTCATTGATAATCCTCCATTTTGTCAGTAATTTATTATTGTTGCCATGTTACTGCTATGGTTCTTTTGTTAGAAATATTTTAGCTGGAAGCCATATGGTTCTTTGTAAATAATGCTTAGTACTTCTGGCTGACAAGTAAAATTCCATTCAAAAAAGAGTGCTGAAAAGAACCTCAGACATTAGGATTAAATTTAGCAGTTACATCAATTCCTCCATGATATAAAGAGTCCCTACTATATACAACATTCTTAAGGTAAAATGAACAAATTCCAGGCTTTCAAGTCTCTCCTAGGAGCTCCTTCCTCGTCATTGAGTTTATCTTTAAACTCTAATTTCTTCTGCTTCAGTTTAAACTCTTTTTTATTTGTTTCTTGTCACTAAGGATAGCTCATTCTCTCCTACATCTTTCAACTTTATGGTTTGCATTTGTCACACCCAGCGATTAGTCACCAAATAAAAAAAATCTTATTGAACTTTTGCTATAGGGACATTGGATTTCTACTCGGCAAGCTACAAACTTCAAAACGAATTATGTCTTTTCACTTTTTCAGGAATATTAATAAAAATTATTTAAGTAGAAATTTTAATAGATTTAAAGGTTCTGTTAGGTGTAATTCCTAGAAAAACATCTTATCTACAATTTTGAGAACAAACATAAATGATTCCTTTGTCCCTATTTAAAATTCCATTAAAATAGAAGCAGTACACTTAAGAATCCTTTTGTTTTGGCGTTTGTGTTTCAGCACCATAATTATTTATTTTACTCTCATAAAATTAAACATTTTATGGGCAGCTTGGTAGCTCAATCGGTTGAGCATCTGACTTGTGCTCAGGTCATGATCTCAGTTTGTGAGTTCAAGCCCCACATTGGGCTCACTGCTGTCAGTGCAGAGCCTGCTTCAGATCCTCTGTCCCTCTCTCTCTCTGCCCCTCCCCTGTTTGTGCTCTCTCAAAAATATATGAACATTTAAAAAATTAAACATTTTAAAAACAAAATATAGTTGTTCTGTAGCAGGAACCAAAAGAAATAGCTGTATCTAGAAAAAATCATAATTGACAGTATGAAATTAAGCACTGCAGATTTTTTAAAAGATACCAAGGTCAAGTACTAAAAATGTATTATGAAGAAAATATATCTTTAACACATATAGATGGAATTTTTGAGACATCTTAAAGCAGAAAACATATCAGTTTGACTGCTTTTGTGATATTTTCATGACTGGGGGGAGAAAAACAGCTAGTGTTTCTTTCTTTTGGGCTTTGACACATTAAAGCAGACCATACTATCTGGAGTATCTCTCACAAAGACGGATACCAAGGTGAAAAAACTTGTTTTTCCTTCAGCTACACTTTGATGTCTGCTTTCAGCTTAGGATAACCAACCAGTTTCTAAGCAACAAAGTATATATAAGGGCACTTACCTTAAATGTGTGTTAAAAAATAACTTGAAGGTACCTTTCTCATTTCAGCCAAGCTAACATTAGTCACAAGAAAACGAGAACTGCAGTGATGCTGGAGAATGGAAAAATTAGCATATGCAAGGACAACCTCAAAAGAAAATTGATCTTTTCATGAAAAATGGGGATGTTTTGTTGTAAGATCAAGTATCAACATTGAGACTTCTATGCTACCATTGTAATAATAATAAAAACATTTATCATTGTTGGAGAAAAAAATGCTGCAAACCACTCACATCCTGTGCTCTGTATACTACCAAAACTTCAAAAATGTTGAAGAGGCCATTTTTCCAAAGGCAGCAGCATGTATTTTAAGGCACTTTCATAGTCCACCATCTTTAAGTTTGTAGGAGAAAACATAAGTAGTGAATTTAAAATAATTTTAGGCTCTAAGTTAGAATTTGTTGCCTTCTGTTTTGGGGGAAGAGGGGAAATTCCACTCATTTCTTAGGAATAGTTTCCTCATCTTAGCCTGATAACTTATGGTCATTTTTAAGAGAAATTCTGAAAATGTTCCCTTCACATTGTAGTGATGGTGTACCAGGAATATTATCTATTTAAAAAATATATATTAGATTTTCTTTCAGGTCCTAAAAATGCCAAATTCTGACTTATTAGCCTTTTAAGGGAGCTATCAGTACTATAATATTTAAAAGATGAGTACATGGGTTTATCTTTGAAATTGGCATTATCCTTGGCAGACAACACTATCATACTCATAATATCAAGCTATGCTCTGCGATAATATGAGGGAGAAGCCTACTAATTTGTGAGACTGCAGTCAGCATGCCATTGCCAAAACCAAACCATTATTTAAGAGCAGATTTGCTAAGAGGAAAAAGATAATAAAATATTTTCTTGAAAATAAATATGATTTTTCCATTAAAGTTTATACTTAGTATATATTGCTCTGCATTGGAATTTTATTTTGTATTAACTTGTTAAGTAGTTCCTTTAAGCGATCTTGCATCCCATTTTACTGATAACTACCTCTGAAATATACTACCACCTTGAAACCACATCACTGTAATGTGATCTTTTGTAGGGTTTTTATTTAAAGTTTTATAGAGGCAATAAATGATTTCTAACTAATAGACATCTATTTCTTTCTTTTAATGTTTACTTTTCCAAGTCTTTGTGTTTTAAGCATTGTTCCCTTTTTAAAGATAATTTTTGTCCTCCCCAAAATAAGGTTCTTGTAAAAAAAAAAAAGGCCCCCAGAATACAGAGAATGATAAGGTATTGTGGGTCAGAGAAGGGAGAACATGGAATGCTCACGTAGAAATTTTGTTGTCTTCCAAGCTGGCAAGTATGTCATCTTTAATTGAGTTTACTTAAAAAAGAATTACTCCACTATCAATGTAATAGAGTGAGTATTTTGTAACAGACACAGGTTTGTCCATGATAGGATATTTAAATTGTAAAAACAATAAGTAAATTACCACAGTATAAACAAAGAATGCTAATTTTATAACATTTTTTTTAATGTGGCAGTATTGTGCCTAACTCTGTCTCTCTTGACACCAGTAGAGCATGCGTCTAATTTGGGTGAAATATGCCCACACCTTTTTTTGTCAACGTCTTACACCAATTAAAACTCTTTATGTTACCTAACTAATGGGAGAAAGCAGGGGGTATGTTTCAAATAGCACAACAGTAGCTTTCTTTCCCAGTTGACAAATTATCACGAATGTTGCAAGGAGAAAAATTACATAGAAACATGAATTTCAAATGACCCAAGTCTTTCTGAGAGCTGCAAAAACTTTGAGTTTAGGTAGCGAAAACCTTTGATTTTATAAAAATGAATGGGAATTATTATAAATTTGTTTAAGAGACAAGTCAATGGTCAATGGGTGAGTATGCCCATAAGATTGAATAATGCTATTC